AAATCCAACACCTGGCCTCTAATTGGCAACAAACTATAGAACACAACTTTATAAAAGGTGTCCTTTCTAGATGGCCCGGCTGAATTTCTCTTGAACCAATAACGCTATAAAAAAAATACATGTTCAATATTTTTTAGCCTAGTTTCAAATTTTTACATTTTTTGGAGAAAAACATTACAGGGTAACTCAGGCCCAGTTGAACATACAAATTGCAAATTCTACTCTATACATCCAGTACATCATTTTAAAGGATTTTTTTATGCTGAAAACAATGGTACAATCGGATTTTAAATTGGTCGCAAAATGACAACGTTTTGGCCAAGAAACCGGCAGCGTAATTTCGACGAGGAGCTGAATATTTTACTGTGTTTGTGAAAATCCGAATTCCTTTTTCTGAAATGTTGAAAGGGTTTAGGTTTTTAAAAAAAATAAAGTTAGAGATGTGCTCTGGACTTACAATTTTAAGCCGTATCGCTCTTATCTTGTCCAGGGATTTCGGGACTCTGAAGAAAGACACCCTATATATACTTTGGATATTTAAGAAAATGGTGCCAAATTCAAATTATTTATTAAATTAGCAAGAAAAACTGTCATTTTTTATGACACTCTATTAAATTGAAGTGTGACATATATAATAAGGATGTACTAAAACGTAACTTGAGTTGGGCACGTTTATCAACTAGTCCTTTCCAACTTTGTCATATACTTTCTATTTTAAATAAGATCATTAACGATGTTTTCTCTTAATTTCGGTAGATGACGTTGATAACGCAGCCATGTGATTTACATTCACTATCTAGATGGATCATTAATCTAATTGAAATTTATGGCTGGATCAATAAAATTAGACGACTTTTTCTTTTCAGCATCCTAATGAATAGTAAAATTATTGAAGTTTTTCTTTTTTGAAATGGTTCTATGCATGAGCGTTCAGGATTTTGTTGCCTCGTCCGATTGAATTATTATGACATTAAATTCTAATAATCCGCCAATTCTCTATCGATTCAGTCCTTTACACTCAGGTTTACAATTAGTTTTAAAACCGAAAAACGAAATGAGCTCACCATTCTTTGACGGAGAGAAAACATTTCCGGGCGGAGATTGAATACACTCGCTTGTTTTCAGTGGTCTCCCCTGGATTTGTTTTTCTTTCAAACAGTCGAAACTTTAAAACTAACAGTCGACTTTAAATAATAACTGAACATACATGTTCATATTCTAATTAATTAAAGTGTTCTTGTACTTAGAATTTGAAAACAGTTTTTTTGCATTTGCATTAGCAATTAGCTTAAGGAAATTTTATGATAAAGAAAATTTATGTATATCTAAATATAAATAAATAAAAGAATATATAAAAAATAAATACGTACGAAATACCCCATATATATTGGGTATTACGAATATATATGTATTTATATATAATATATATTCGAATATATACACACGATACATCTCAAGTCATACGAAGTATATGAAGGGGGGAGTCGGTGGCCGTCCAGCGGCCCTGCATTCGCACCCGTCACATTTACAAATGAGCTTTTTTCTAAAATACCGACACACTAAGGGTTGATATGACCTCTGTTGTTGGGAACCCTCATTATAAAAAAAATGTACAAATAAATATCTCAATAGACAATAGACACACGTAAAGTACAGACTGATAAATAAATAATTACATTTTAATTTTAAATTGTTATATTACAACTATAAACAAAATCCAGAAAATGTTTATAAACATCCAGGACTCTTATAATGAAGAGGTATTTGTAATTTATTGGTTGTTTCATTATTTATATTTTATTTAATAATATACTTCTTTTGCATTCAAATTTATTGCACTCCGTTATAGTCAGTTCTAAATCTTCTGTTGTATTACACACTGAACACATATCACTTCTTTGCTGATTAATCATACAAAAGAGCCATTTAACCCATGATTGCATCTCAATCTTGTTATGATCGAACAATCCCTCCTATTGAATTTTGAATTTAAAACCATGGTGTATTATTAACTTTGGGGTTAACAGAGTGGTAAAGCAGGCCTGTGACCAGATTGTTGTATTTTTGCAACTTTTATTTTATTTTAAATTTTATACCATTTTTCGCATCTTAAGTTGGGCTGAGAGCTCCAATTATTTGCCCGTCCTGAGTAGCCTGTTTTGCTTTTTTTTTTTTTTATTTTATCGAGAGTCCCATTGTGATAGATACTTACCCCTTACCCAGCAGAAAAATATGCGTATTCCTTTACTGGTTTTTAATCTATACAAAAGATCAGAAAGATGAATAATAATATTAGATCAGAAAGGGGCAATAGATAATTAGAATCAGTTTTATGATGGAAAATTTTTATACTGTCTATGCACTTTATGAATTAGAAAGGATAATTAAGTTTCTCCCCAAAATCATATTACTTTCAGAAACATAGCTTAAGGCTCTTAAGATACGCCGAGTATGCAGTATATCCCTTGGGTAGCTTGCACTTTCCACTTTAAATTTGAAAAAGGTGTACATTCGAATAAGGAAATTACTGATATGACAAGGAAGGACAAATTCGAGAACTGCCTCCGGTCTGCCAACAATTCCGTAGTAGGACCAACCAGGTCGGGTCAAAGCAGACCAATTATTCGCGCTTGTTTTTTGACACTCTTACGCATGTCATCTTCAGTGAGGGACCATTCCAATAATAGAACAAACTAATAAAATTGATGTCGATCAGTTCAACAACGGAATAGACGAGTTTTTCTGCTTTCCGTGGAAAGCCGAAGTTCAACTTTAAAACAGATATGAAGTTTTCTCGATATGCAATTATAATGCATAAAAAACTATGTAAAAATATTCGGAAATATACAGAAATCTCTCTNATATATAGTATCTTATTTTTCTTTTAAAAAAGCTAACACGAAATTATCCTTTTATCAAGTGCGATGAGTCGATTTTACGATTTTATAGGAAAACGTGGTTGAAAAGAACCTTATAAAGCAGATCATTGTTGAATTGCGTTTTCAGCAGATAAGTAGCAGGAGGAAAACTTGCTTGTCCGGAGTGAACGCCTATTATGTTTGACGTTTCCCGTTCCAAACCCCACACACAAAAGGCCATCAAAATAAATTTTTACAGAACGGCACTTCAATCGTTGAAATCAGTTTTACCCCTCAGTCGCTACTTAATTATTACGTTATTTTTATATCAATTAATTATTCTTTTTATGTAAGGTCTTAGTTGAGATGAAAAAGTTAGTGTCACGTGCAGGCACTAACTTTTACATCTCAACCAAGACCTTACATAAAAAGAATAGTTAATTGAAATACGAATTTGGTCAATTAGACCACTAAAACATAAATGGGTTATTTTTGTAGTTTTCAAAATTTTATGTTAGAAAAGCAAATATTTGATTTTAAAAAATAGCTAAACTGGTTGAGGACAACCGGTGGATTGATACCTCATGGCACGTATTGAATTGAATTGTGTTGTGAAAGGACCAGGTTGGTGTGGCATGGATTTGAACCAAACTTTTTTGATGATCCTATACTCCAAAATATCAGTCACTTCTCCGGCCATTTCCAGTAAATAGGCCTTAGTTTCACCAAAAAATCAATTTTGAAAGTTAAAATTTTCCATTTTTAATGTATTTATTTCGTCGTTTTACTTGATCAAATCAATTAAGTGACTATCATTGACGCCATTTTTATGTAGATTGCAATCAAAATATAGTAAAGCTATCAAACTTTATTGATACCCAAGATATTCTAAAAATCAATTATTTACAAGTAAACTAGGTCGTAATTTTTTTGTCGTGAAACTAATATGAAATTACGTTTTTGCACTTCTCGAGACCACAAATTACGAATATTATTTTTAGTGTATTAATTTCACATTTGGTTAACATAAAGGCAAAAATGTTTTTCGAATGCGACGTAGAATATTCTAATTTAGCATGATTTAAAAAGATAAATCAACAAAATACTGCTTTTTTGCATATTTTAACAAACATTCTGTAATGAAAGTAGGAAATGGTCAAACTTGAATGTGACCTCATTGTCGTGTTTCTAGGGTTGTAAAATCCTTTGATACCGATTTTCGGCGAAATTGTTTTTTTTTCCTTTTAATTAATTTCGACTTTAATGTCAAAACCTAGAAGACATCATGGTTAATAATTCATTTTAAAGAAATTGTCAAGAACCTTTTATAACTGTATCAAACATTAAAATAGGACTATTATTTCTATTTAAAAATGAGGCTAATTTGTGACAAATAAATTTGCTATTTTGTCTCTTTTCTCATAAAAATGTTTTATATATTCTAAAGATTTATGTTGAAAGTTATCGTTCCATTCCTTTCAAATGGTATGTTTGACGTAAAATCCTTTTAGCCATTTTTGAATTATAGCAGTCTTAAACAAATAATGTCAATAATGTCTTATTAAAATCTTTAGGGGTAAAAAAACGAAAAATTTAAATTCAAACAAAAATTTATATTCATTGATCTCTAGATGTGGTAAAACGATATTTTATGTTAGTTTTACGAGAAAAAAAATGACAGTTTACTTGAAAAATATTTGGTTTTCAGAACTTTTTGTTTTTGATTGAAAAAGCTTTGATAGCTTTTGACTATATTTACCATTCTTTATTGCAATCTTCATAAAAAATTCTTAAAAATGATATGTTCTCATAGCTGATTTGAGCAAGTAGAACGACGAAATAAAAATTTCACATAATGGAAAATTTCAACATTCAACAATTTGTATCGTCGAAACTAGGGCCTATTCACAAGAAGTGGCGGATAAGTGCCCGATATTTTGGAATGTAGTATCACTAAAAAATGTTTGGCCCAAATTCGTGACACACCAACTCTGGTCGTCCCCTTGTGAGTTGGTGGTTTGTCCTATAGGTCAATAGAAAACATTTTGCTTTGGAAAAATGAGCCGACACGCACAGAAACGATTCTATTTGGAATTTTAAAAACGTACAATTTGTCATTGTTAATATACTGCGGCTTTACAGGATGTACAAAAGGAGAGATTCTACCGAATATTGCGTCTGGTCCTGCATCGTGATCCTGTTCGTGCTGGCGCTCGTCGTGGCGTCGCAGACAGAATACGTGACCGGAAGGGGTGGACGACAAGTTGACTGCATGTGAGTTACAGTTTGTTGCATTTTGGAAGGAAAACCAAACTTAAAAACAACTACACAATTTGAATTAATTTAGGAAGTACGTATTTGCTCCAGTTTGCCGAGGTGTCGCCGCTAAAAAATCAGCAAAAAGGTCGACAAATTTCATCCCTCGTCTGCAATACAAGTAAGATTATGCTAACTACATCTTGAAATCAACATTTTTTGATATTGAGCGTTACTATTTTCAACATTAAATATTACGACATTGTTTGTTTAAGGACGGCATTGTTCTGTGATTCATAATTTGAAAATTGATTCTTTCGTTTTGTACCTTTACTGCAACCGATCTCACAAATATTTCTTTCAATCGACCAAATTGATTAAAACAGTGTGTTACTAGCTTGGATTTTAAACTCTGGAGAAACTCATTCTGTTGATATAGTTTTCCTTAAATGGGGATATCACTTAATTTAATAATAAATGTACAACCCGACTTTTCAGCGTTCTAAGAAGTCAGGAAGAACTAGACCCTTGGTATGGTTTTCAGCCCGAGGGAAGAATTCCAAGCAATAAAATAGGGAAAGAGTAAGTTGCTGTTTTTTTATTGAAAATTTTACGTAAATAAATTAAGAAAAACTTAAAAACTTCTTCTTATTTTAAAAATTAAAATAACATCGTTGTTATTCGACTGTGGTACACAGAATCCCCATTGTCATATTTTTTGAGATCTGCGGTGTGATGAACCTATAGTTTGATCGTCTTCGCTCATCCTGGTCAGCGAACCACCGCTGGTTTGGTCTGTTGGTAATTTTGGCCTTTCACCACGTATTAAGATTACAAACAGAAGTTATTACTTTGCTAAAACACTTCTGACTGAACAAATGATGAAAAATGATTAAAACCAATCAAACTACAAGCCCACATTGTTATTAATTATTATTAGGAGATCGTGAGATGAGGTCTAGTGTGACGTAGGTGTAGAAAAACATTTTCTTTATCGTGCCAACGTTTCGATCTTTATTGAGATCATCTTCAGGGCCTGGGATTTATAAACATCGTTTAAATTATACAATTACATGTAAGGTGTGAAAAAATGCATTTATACAATGATAGAAATTTTAAATTCAATCAAAGTGTTTGTTATCTGTTTAGATGTATCACTCTTTCAAAATCTAACGTATTTGAACAAAAAACATTAATATTTCTCTGGCACTTTCAACACGACACACAGTAATGATACATCTACACAGAAAACAAACACTTTGATTGAGTCTAAAATTTATATCATTGTATAAATTAATTTTTCACATCTTACATGTATTTGTATAATTTAAACGATGTTTGTAAATCCCAGGCCATGAAGATGAACTCAATAAAGATCGAAACGTTGGCACAATAAAGAAAATGTTTTCTACACCTACGTCACACCAAACAGCATCTCACGATCCCCAAATAATCATTAATTAGCGGTCACTAAATAACACACATTGTTTATTAAGTTGCACTTTTGTTTTATTTATTCTAATTTATTTTATTCCAGAAAAGACATGTTTAATAATTATGAAGATATATTTACGGAAAGGGAGAGGTTGTTCTGAAAGTACCGGCGACAACAACCGAAAAGCAACCAACTATACCATAAGCTATTTATTAAAGAAGAACCAGAGAAATTTAACCACCCGTTTAAACCAAAACAGATCGTTCGTCGTTCCAAGGCTCAGGAATGTCCAACCCGATCACGGACGATCATTGTCTTTATTACTGTTGTAGGTTTAAAAATGTCTATTGTAAAGCGATAATTTATCTATTGTTACTAAGCTTAGATACAATAAACTCGGCTTGATTATAATATTGTATTTTAATTTGTCATACCTACATAGCCTACAAACCAAATTCATTTTATTTGAACGAAAATCTTACTTTTCGGGTTGGCCAATCCTGACAATGAAAATGTTTTACATATAATTTTTTTTAAACCAGAGAATATTTCAACTTCTTTATTGCAAGATTATTTTTTCTTTATCAATATATTAAATAATGTTTATCAACTACTGTAATTTAATACTGCATTTTGGTGCGTTAATAAATAGTTTCTCACTAGCAGTCTTGTTTTAATTATTTTTTAAAGTAAGAGTCATTTTTGTGTGCAAATATCCCTAATCCTCCAAAATAACTTTGTGTGTTTAGTGTTCATACAAAATAAGTCTATGTATCGTATTAAGGGTTTATAAAACATTTTTTTTTCTTACAATTATGTGTTTTTTTTAAATATTCTGAATTACCTATATACCTATATAATGCTGTCCTAAGAACTAGTCACTCGTTTTTAGATGGAAGTTTTCCATAGTAAAATTGAAACCAAAGCTCAATAAACCTAATTGTTTACCTCAATCCTATCGCCCGATTAGTTTCCTACTCATGCTATGAAACATCCTCGAGAAACTCCTTATGAAAAGAATCCTTCCTACAATATTTTCGAAGAAAAAAACATTATTCTAGCTCACCAGTTTGTGATAGGGTCTGACATCTGGAATCAAGTGCGTCCTTTGTTTCACCTACTTCCTCACATTCCGAACATACCGGACTTACCGCTTCTTTCATCTCGTCGCTGTTATGGCCGGAGTCCCGCAGGGTGGTATCCTTGGTGCGATCCTTTATTCAACGTATACTTCTTACTTTTCTACCAATCTTGGCACATCCATCACTTTTGCGGATGATACTGCTATCCTATCCTTCAATAAAGAACCGAAAAAGACTAACTTGGAATTCCCATGCAAGGCTAAAAAAGCAGGACCTGACTAGACGAATCAAAACTGACACTTCACAACAAACAAGTGATGTAGGACACAATAATTAAACCAATTTGAACGTAGCCATTGAACTGTGGGCTTTAACCAAACATTCCATCTATCATCGCATTCAGATTTCCCAAATCAAAATCCTCCAAAAAATAGCATACACTCCCTTCTACAATACTTATCTAACCACACAATCCACAATGAACTTAAAATTCCTTTTGTGAAAGATGTCATAAAATCCCGATACATAAAATTCCACAAATCCCTTTCATTACACCCTAATCCCTTAGTTGTTAAACCTGATATCCCGAACTATCTCCAATAATCCCCCAAGGAGTTGAAGAGGCAGTGGTCTCGCGACCTGTTGGGCAGCGAATCGTAGACCCTACTAGATGTGTCACACTGGGTGATTCTTCACACCCTGGTACCAAATAAACCTACATTTTTTAAAATTTATTTTCAAATTTGTACATGACAATAATTTTATTTGTAGTATAAAAATAAATACTGTTGTAAAAAGAAAAAAATATTTTGAATAACAGCAAAGCTAGCAAATTAAAACACTTTCCCACAAACCTACACAAAAATATATTAGAAGCTCTGTTTTTTGGGGGGTTAACACCTTAAAAATTTTTCAAAGCAAACAACTAGGAAGTAAGAAGAGGAGGATTATTACGAGAGTTAAATCTGTCGTAAGAGCTTTCGGTTCGACAGAGTTGATGAACTTAAGTTTGAACCAGTCCAACTTTTGTCTTTAATATCGAGACTTCCGTTCAAGTAGTGAGATATCCCTTTGAAGGTGAAACAATTTGAATTGAAACGTATAAACTTGACAGTTGACCAAAATGGTTATGATGGAGTGAGTACATAATTTCGATAGTTGTCTGTTCCCTGTTCAACTTTTACACCACGCGTTTTATTTTCGGTTTATAAAATATTTGAAATACAAAATGACCCTCAAGTAAACTTTTGTTGTTAAAATATTATATAATAATATCGCTTTATTCATGATTTACGAACCCCGGGGCCTAATGATGAAGCGATTTGTAAATATTAAAATAAAGATGTGAAAATTGTCAAATTTAAAAAAATATGTATAACTTAATAACAATAGTCTCCAATTTCTGGAGAAGAATAATTCTGATTTGAAATGCCTCCAGTAGCATGATATGAGAGGCCGGGTAAGGCGACCACATCAATGAACCGTATTCTAAGATTGATCTCTCCATGGACAGTGTAATCAATCCGTGATTGTTTTGAAAGTTTGTAATGATAGTGTTTATAAAACCATGTTTTGTTTGCCTTGGTCCACCATAAGAGTTACATGATTGTCAAAGTTAATTGTTAAATTAAAAACTATTCCAAGGGCTTTCATTGTATGACATCGATTGGACAGTGAGAAATATATGTACAATAATTGTACTTGGTAGAGGAAACACCACGAGAAAATGATACACTTTACATTCATCACCATTTAACTTTTATCACACAATTTTCCAATAGTAATAGGGATTTTTGGAGTAATGCAGTATCTTGCATGTGCCTGCCATTGTGTAAAACAATGTGTTGGATTGTCCGGAAAATAATCCAGGTTTTTCATGTTTTCTTTCAATTATCCTTCTATACATATAATGAACCATTTACGATTATTCTTTTGGAAGAATGTCAACACTTTAATCCTCTACCAAACAAAAATATTTGTTCTCCTCAGTAGGATTTGGGAATAACTCAGATTTTACTAAGTTGTCAACACGAGATTTTCGCGTAATTTCGTTTTACGAGTTTAAAAACGATCAGAACAGTGCCGATTCGGCCAAAAACATGAAGTCTGGGACGATGACAGTGAGAGAGAGCACAGTTCACAGATGGTTTAAAAAATGTCGAGAGGGCGACTTAAGAATTCTAGTTGACGTTGATCGACCTACGTAGTTTAAAATGATGTTGTATTGGATCTTCTTGAGGTCATTTTGCAGGTGAATAAAGAACATCACTAACTGGGTTCGCCGAAAGCTTGGTGAAACGCAATTAGTAATGTTCTTTATTCACCTGTAAAATGACCTCAAGAAGATCCAATACAACATCAGGGCGACTTAAGCTTTGCAGACAACAAAGCTCGTGGAAGGATTATTTTCTCCTCTAGATGATGATGTTCTGCGAGATTTGGTCGAAGAAAATGCCAGAACAACTGTTCGAGAACTTGCTGAGAATCTTTCAATTAGCAAATCGACCATCGCTGACCACCTTAAAGTAATTGGAAAGGTGAAAAAGCTCGAAAATTGAGTTCCTCGTTCATTAAACGACTACCAAAAAAAAAAAAAAAAAAAAAAAAAAAATTGTTATGCAGTTTGCCCCTACTTCTTTGGCGAAACGAAAACGAACCTTTTCTAAATAGAATTATTACTTGAGCTGAAAAGTGAATTTTCTACGATACAAGTGTTGTTCTGGACATTGGCTCGAGAAAGGCTTTTGTGGGGTTCATTTAGGCTGATTTATTACAGCTTCTTGAATCCTGGTGAAACAAACAATGCCGGATTGTATTGCTCTCAAATTGAAAAATGCGCCAGAAATTTATACTATTGAAGTATGATGTATGTTCAATCGGAAAAGGCTGAATCTATTATATTACAACGCTGTCTCGCAACATTATATTACAACCAATACTGTTGGATCTTGGTTATGAGGTCTGCTTCACCCTCCCTATTCTCTCTCTCGCCTACAACTACCATTTTTCTGTCAACTGGACAACGTTTTACAACATAAAAAATTTATTGATCAAAAGTCGTTAAAAATATTTTAAAGTTAAAGAATATTTTAATGATTAAAAAATTTATTTAATTGTTTTTATTTTATAATGATAAATTTGCATTATTTTCCGGACAACCCAATAGAATTAATGGGAGCTTTTCTAAAGTTTTGTCAAAAATGTATTGTAGCTTATTGGCCTATATGAACTACTATGACTATCATTTTAAAAGAATGCTGTTAGTGACGTCACATTTGATGCCATCGATGGCGCGTGAATCGATAAACGTGTTCAAAACAGAACCTCTCATTTGGTTTATCTTCATAACAAAACAAAACGTGACTTCCACAAATGTCGAAGCTCATGACTCTTCATGAATTGTTCATGGTCTCATCATCGAAATATCCGGAGAACAATTGTATTTTGTTCGATGACGGAGAGGGAAAACAGATTTTGACTTATTCGGGTGTGAAAAAAGAGGCGGACCGCCTCCAGTTGGAAATCAGACAAAGGATTGGAAATGAGAAATGCTTCCTTATTCTCTGTTTGGAATGTACAAAGTCAACTCCAATTATTATCCTCAGGTGACGTTTTAATTAAATTCATCACTAAAGGCATTTTGGAGTGTTTTTAAATGCGCAAAATTGTCAAGAAAGTGTGTAAAATCTTCATATTAAAACTAACGAAAACAGTCATTCCGCTATTTCTGTTATTATACAATGATGGACAAAATAAACGCACCACCCTTAAATTTTAATTTATATAGGTTTACTCATATTTTACATATCACAAATAGGTCTGGTTGTAAAAATAAGACATTTAAAAAGTAAATGGTTATTACATAATTGTAAATATATGTATGTTACGGTTTGTTCTTGATTCAACAAGACGGGCCCAACTATGAATCCTGTTTATTAGGAACAGTGCCCCAGACGTCTTGATCAAACCTGAATATAAATTGATTAGGTGCCTTTTTTTAATACAATTTAATTTGAGTTTCAAAACAATTTATTAATTATACAAGAAAATAACAATTAACACAAGTTAAATTTAAATTAACAGTAATTTCATGCAAACCATATGCCAGACCATTTGGAACAAGGGTGGAAGGGTACTCACTATTTGCAGTCATTCCGCTGTGGAGTAAAACACGCTTTTTTAAGGATTCCAACACTTTTGTAAACTAAAGGATCTCGCACTTCTTTCTGCCTCTTATTTACATGGAATGGACTGGTTCACTTCTCACCTGACTGTCTCTAGCCTAATTGTTGAGATCTCTCTTATTTTCCCTCTAGTACTAACCATGAAATCTAAATCACATTATGTCACTATGAAATAAATTGAAATGTGACCCATTATAGTATGTATGAACAGATGGGCGATAAGTGTTGAAAATTTCAGTTTTTTTAAAATTTATTTATTTATTTTTTTTAACCGACAGGCCTACTAAATTGCTTATATCTTCAGAATTACTGACTAGACATCAGGTCTGGTTTGTACCAAAAACATTAAATTTGCTGTAAGGGAACTTATTTATATTGCAGAATTGATGAAAAAATTGTATACAAAAAGATCAGACAAAACAAAAATGTGGAAATTTGGAATTTTTTGAAAATTTTGGATTGGTAATTGTAAATAACTACCAGCTCCTGGAGCTTTGTAAATTCCCTCAAAAGTTCCCCATTCAATTACCTTCTAGCGGTATACCCACCTTTTTGGATTGCACTTCTGGAAGCAATTTGTTTTGTTTTGTTGCAAAATTTTGCATTTTGTTGAAAAAAACTGGTTTCTAAGAAGGGGGGGGGGCACACTCAATTTAACTAGGAACTCCGTCTGGCTCTTGAGTTTCATGTCAGTTCTTTATTGTTCGATTCAAACAGTTTGCTGCTCAGTCCTCATGTTGGTGATTTAAATTCTTAACATTTAAAGAATTAAATTTAAAGTCTTTATTTCCACATGAACTCCTTGCTAATATGCATTTCATTTGCAGTTACTGCAATAGTAATACTATCGGAGAGGCTCTTGCGATTCTCATCTGAGCAGGAGACGAGGGATCGTCCTCACCTGACTGAGGATTGGCCATACGCGGTTGACACATGGGCACCTTCTTTTGGGCCAAAGCCCGCGCAGGTGCCCCTTATGCAGAGAAAGGTTGCTCGAAAAAAAAATAAAATAAAATAAATAAATAAATATATATAGTAATGCTACTGCGGCAAGGAGAGAATATCAAGCTTATTTCCCACATTGAGACATTCTAGCAGATTGCACCTTCCAACGACTTCAAGGCTGAGGTAAACTGGTTCTTTCACTTGAATGAGGGATGGAGGTGTGGAAATTTGCATTCTGTTAATCGTGATCCCAAAAACAGTTCACGTGCGTTATTTATATATCTCGATGTTTCACAATGGAGAGGTTAGGATACCCTCTGTTGGGAAGGATTGTACCCTTACCATTTTATGAGGGTGCAAAGTTGGAATTTACCTCAACAATAAGAATAACTTTTCCATGTTTACATGTTCCATCGCCAGCCGGGTGCTGGGACTCAAGGTTATTTTTATTGAGCCTACTTAATTTAAGTTAAAGTATACATGTATGTCAAGTAAAACTTATAAGTGAATATAAATAATTTTCTAAACAAACTATTCAAAAAGATTTTGGTTTGAAAATAATAATTAACATTTAAGGCTGTTCTCACTATGGAACTTTTGTTTTAAACTTTAGTTTTTAGTTAATCAACTAAAGTTGAAGGAAACCTCAAGTTCAACAGAGAATGTTTGATCCAATAAATAGCAAATTTGAGCTTCAAGTAGACTTGATGTGTGAGATAAAATTATAGGAATTTTAGCATAAGTATTACTGCCAATCAAATCACTGACTTTATATATATAAAGAGAGAGAGAGACAGATTAGAGAGAAATTGCTTCAGTAGTATTGTAATAGAAATAGAAATTACCAGATTCACTATTGTTGATTTGAATAAGATAGACAGTGACGGGTCATGAGCCATTGGTTCGATTCCCACTGCCCCTCCCCTAAATTTTTGACCCATCCCCTATCCCACCAACAATTCAAAAATACAAAATGAGGCATGGGTTATGTGGAAGACTCAAAGATTATCAGAAGTTGACAAATTTTGGAACACGCTTTTATAAAACGGTTGTGTTGGATATTGTCCACCTTGCATTTGTTAGTTAATATAATGTAAATATAATGTAATAATAATATAACTGTGCTATATGGCAGCCTAACTGAATCTGCTGTTGTCTTCTTTAATTTGTCTCAAAATGTTGAATTGTTCCAGCTCATTAATTCTCAGCTGCCCTTTTTACTTTTCGTATCCAAAAGATTTACGTTTTGAAGAGCTAAATGATATTGTCCATAAGCTTAAAGCAGGCTGGGTTTTGACAAATGTTAATTACATGGAACAGGAAACTGCCGATTGGATAGAGCATAAATCTTTCAATGTTTTAGGAGAGACTATTTACCTTTGGAAGACAGGTGAGTAAAAATAATTAGTCTGTGGACATTACTGTAACATTTTTTACAGGATGCTACAAATGTTTACACCACCCTTTTGCATATGCGATTCGGACATCTGGATCATTGGGCTGCCCCAAATTGGTCAAAGTGCCTCATGATGCCATCGTTCCAAATGTAACACATCTGAGGTCTTGTCTGCGTTCATTCTACATAAATACGAAAGAAAAAAAATGAAAAATTATTTTGTTTATAGGGAACTGTTGAACATTTCAGAAAATGATGTTGTGCTTCTCAACTCTCCGCTGACTTTCGATCCAAGTATTGTGGAAATTTTTTTGGCATTTTCATCTGGTGCAGCCTTATGCTTAGTTCCTTATCATGTTAAAAATAATAAAACAAAGTTTTACAAAACTATTGAAGAATGTAATGTCACAGTGATTCAAACGACTCCATCACTGTTTAGAAAATATTTAAAGGAATATAATGGATTTTTCTCTGAAGATTCGTCATTAAAATCACTCATCTTGGGTAAAAATAAAACTCTTTCAGACACAAAGAATAATACAAAGATAAGAAAAATAAGATCTTAAAAAAAAAAATTCAAAATTTTAGGAGGAGAAGAGTTTCCTACCTGGAAGGATGTCAAAACATGGGGCCTTAAGAAGGACAACAAAATAAATGTTTTTAATATTTATGGGATCACAGAAGTATCCTGTTGGGCTTCCTGCAAGCGGGTCTGGCCTAGTTCGGAAGAACCACCTGAAAGAATTGACATAGGCGACCCTCTCAGTGAAACACGCCTGACAATCGAGAGAATTGAAGTAGGGGAGAAAAATGTTGGAGAATTAATGATTGGTGAGAAAGTAAAATCTCATCAATAATCAATGTTTGATGTAATGTTTATTCAATATGCTTAGACAGTTCTCGCAGGATATGCACAATTGATGGGGAAAATTATGAAGACCTTCTTGCGCGAAAACCTGTCTTTAGGAGGAGTGGAGACTTATTTGAAGTAAAAGCAACCAGAGACAAATGCGATAATTTATGATAACGGTCGAATGTGTAATAACCTAGAAAAAGTTTTACTTCTGTCAAAATTATCAAGAAGACTCTATCAGTTGTCAAATGCTTAAATTTTCTAATTAATTCATTACTTAAATATAATTGAAAGTCTTAAAAGTCAACTGTTTTTAGGAAATAAATGGAAAATTGTACTTCGTAAGCAGGAAAGATGATTCAAGTTTTAAAAGATATGGTATTAAAGTAAACACTACCTTGATTGAGGTTGTGTGCAAAGATTATCCAAATGATGGATGCCATGCAGTATGGACAGTCATCAATTCTGATTTGATTCTTGGACTTTTCATAAAAATTGATACAGAACTTAGCCATTTCAAATCATGGCTAACGGCACGAAGAGCCAAATTTCCTAAAGGGCATTGGCCAGATTTAATTTTAAAACTGGATGAAATTCCTTTGTCAAAACATGGTATTAACAAAACATCTAAATATCACTTCTGAGATTAAACATTGCATTTTTTCAAAGGAAAGGTGGACACGAGTTTTTTAAAAGAAAGAGTTAAGGAAAGATATAAAAACTTGAAAATTGCAAAATTTGAGGGAAAATTTAGGAAACTTTGGAAACACTTTACTGGTTCTTCATCTGTAGAAAATGGATCAATATTTATAACTTCAGGGGGTGATTCTATCAAAGCGATTCAACTTTCATCTCTTCTCGGAGATCAAACTCCCCCAACTCTTTTGGGACTTCTACTCAGTGGTTCAACGTTTTCAGAGTGTTTAACATATTTGAACAGAAATGAAAGTCAGTTTGCAGCTTTTTTTTCTTTTTTTAAACTGTTTAAAACTAGGACTTTATATCTAGGTATCAATCAAGGTATAAAACGGAAAAGGCATGATATACATGAACTTACAAGTAATGAGATAAAATTAGACAACGGTGCAGTGATCATTCTCAAAGGGCGTGTTTTCCCACAATTGGCAACTAAAGAATTCTATTCTGTGTACCAAGGAGTACCAAATTTGTATATTTCTTGGAAGCATAATTTAAAGAAATGCGTCGACTCTTCCCCTTTAGGGGTTATCTTGACAAGGTAATTGAATTTAAATAATTACACTGCATTCTAAAAATTTTATGGTTGTTCAAATGGGGTGATTTTTTTATTTCAGAAGTAGAGAAGAACTGATAATTGTCGCAAGTCACAGTGGGGCAGTTGTTGTCACAGATGTGGCTACAGGAGCAATAATATCTCAAGTCACCCTACCAGACAGAGTTGAATCTTCAGCCTGTCTTTCATCTGATACAAATTCTTTCTATATTGGTAGTTGCCAGAATATTGATTGTTGTCTTGTTTAATAAAGATAAAAAAATTTAATTTGGTGTTTTAGGGTGTTATGATGGCTGTGTTTATTGTATTGATTTGAGGTTAGGAACTGTGATATGGAAATTTCATACTAGTGATATTGTTAAATCAACTTGCGTCCTCCACCAAGGGAAATTATATTTTGGTTCTTACAACAAACAGATCTATTGCATAAATGAGGTGAGAATTAATATTCTGTTTTTATTTTTTAAAGTATGTCGTGTTTTCTTTGTAGGATGGAAGTTTATCTTGGGAAACGCACATTGGATCGAGTGTGCTGTCTGAGATATTGATTGATGAGATTGGGATATTTGTCTGTGGAACTGTCGGTGGGGTTTGGTCGTTAGATTTTGCCGGGAATATTAAATGGTCAGTTGAAACTAAACCAATTTTCACAAATCCAATAATATCAAATGGTGAACTGGTTGTTGCTCCAGTTCTTGGAGGTGTTCATTTTTTTAATTTGACCACTGGGGAAAAGGTAAATTAAACATTTATTTGTTTTATTTGTTGAAACATAAAAATATATAATTATTTTTAACAGATTCGAGTCATTGATATTAAAGGACATGTATTTTCTTCGCCAGTCCTATCAAAACATCTGGCATTATTGATAATAGCTGATTCTACACTGTTTGTTATTAAAAAAGAAGAAGTAGATTCTATAGAGCTGGATTCAAGAACAGTATCATCTCCGTGTTTTCTCGACGATGGACAAAACATGGTCATTGTGCCTTCAACAAATGGAAAAATCAATCTAGTCTCGTTGAAAGACAAATGTTCAAAAGTTATTTATGATTTGAATAACGATGTTTTTTCCACTCCTGTGATATTTCCTAGTAGACATATTATTTTGGGTTCTCGAGATAATCATGTATATAGTTTTAAACTTGCCAAATAAACTTAACTGTGATATAATTCTTTGATATTCAATGTATCATCTTCTGTTATATTGATAGCAACAGTTTACAAATGAAATTATGCAAGGGCCATTGAGACATTTGTTACCTTATTTTAAAATATGTACAGTTGTATAGTTAATACATATTGTATAAATGTAGTCTCTATTGTATGGCTGTGGAGTTTGTCAGTAACTGCACCTTTACTGTTGTCCATCACGATTGGTAATAAGTTGAGGATTTGGTGAATATTTGCACAAACCGGGTGATTGTACAAACCCCACATGCGTGTATATGAAGGCACACTATTTGGCGAATGCCGAGACGATTGAGGGTCTGGAGACACCTTTAGGATAGGAAAACCTTACTGCATCCTCCATATTCGCTTGGCTTCGCGCTTATAGGCTTCCACTTTTTAAGGCATTTTGATTACTTCTTGAGGGATAACATTTTTAGAGAATGCAATGAAGCCGAAACACCTTCTAAGACTATTGTGAGTCGAAATTTTATGTCAGTGGAATAAAAGTGTTTATTACACGTTGGCAAAGATATATAGACTGATATGAAATATTTTGAATAAATTTTCTTTATTTTATAAAAATTAAAAAGTATTGCTTTTCAAAACCTGCATCATTTTTGCACTAGCCCAATATTAACGGTGGTGTAGAGCAAGATTATTCAGCCATTTTTTTCTTCAGAGTATTAAAAAGAAGCCAAACTTGATCTTTACGGAGGGTTCCCTAAAAGCTGCATGGCACATTGAAGATGTGTTATCAAAATAAGTTATTCCTTATATGCCACCCATTGGTGATGGTTTAATTTTTAAGCATGACAATGGAAGGCCACATACAGCTAGGATCGTCGTGACTACTTAGAACGGGATTCGAGTCAATGTTTGGAGTGAGCAGTATGTAGTCCCAACTTAAACCCTATCGAACACCTTTAGAACAAATCAAAAAGGGTAATAAGTCGCCAAACTGATGCCAGATAATTTGGATGAATTAAGAATGGTGTTGTTGGAGGAGTATGAAAATATTCCACAGCACTACATTCATCATCTACCTTACAGTGATAAGCGTCTTGTCAACGCCCAAACCATTGCAGTCACCAACACCTATATTTATGCTAGTTTATAATTTCTTCGATTTACCTTTTGTAAATTTTTGTTGTTTTGTCTAAACGATTGTAGCAAATATATTGGCAAAAAGCTAATTGAAGAAATAAAAATAGTATTAAAATGTTTCACAAGTTGTCAGTAGTTAAAAGTAAAGTGTATTTTTAATAAAATGACAACTCTGATACACATATTTCTTTATTAACTTATACATGTTTTATAGTTAATAATTATTTAATAACAACATTGTAACAATTTTATTTTTATGCCATTTTTAGTTGATACAATTTTTTTATGACATTAAACATTTTAGTACATTTTTTCTTTCTAGTAGCTAACATTTTTTCCTATCCCTACACCAAAAATTTTGTTTAAACATTAAGAAAAATATTAAAATATAATAACTTCAAATCCATGCAAATAATAGAACTGAAGATTTCTTGGCTACTTATGTTACATGCAAACAATAATATATTTATTAATATACTTATTTGATTATTTATTGTATAAACTAGATACATTCAATATAGACTATAATATACATTTTTTGCAGTTAATTATTATATAAAATGAGCATTTGCGTCATATGAATTGTTAAATTTTACCTATATTAAAATCATAAAGCAATTAAATGATTACCTACATTAAACAAAGTTAATAGTGTTAGTCACCGTTATCCAGATAATACTTTTCTTCTTAAAATTGATTAATAATTGATACATAATTTCATTATTGGAAAACACCGACTCTTTGGCAGACATAACTTTGGAATTTACATAATTTGCCATACGTACAAAAAAAAAGTACTATTCAAAAAATAACAACATATAAAAAAGTAATACAATAAATAAAAAATGTAAATCAATGTAAGTTAGTTTAACATATAATTCAAATATTTTAAATAAAAAAGTAATTTTAGTGTTGAAAAATGAAACTACAGCCCATTTCATAGTATTTTTTAAATATTTTTTCTTTGTTGTAAAGATTGAGTATTAAAGTGAACTTTTTATGTTTGATGGTACGACATTATTTAAAAAGAAATGAATGACATTAATTATCTTAACATGTATCAGGTGTGTAAAGGTAACCTAACAATGCAAAAACAAATATTTTCACCATTATTTGTACTGCTAAGCCAAATAATCAATTTTTCAATTAAATCAAATGCGATAGGATTACAATTGACTTATTGACTAATTTGGACGGATTTATAGCCTTGCCGTTAAGACTTCCTTTAATGACCAGGATGTAGATACTTTTAAGCAATTTTATGTACAAATAAATAAAATATAAATTCCAACATCCAGAAATAAAATCATGAGCAATAGTAAAAGTAAAATACTTTATTTACATGAAACATTGTCATTAATAAATACAAAAGTGCTTAATGATAAAAACTCAACAATAATAACAGACAATATTATAGTAAAAACATGTATTTACATAAACACCAGGCTATCAAATGTGGTCGATGACCAGGAATTGGTGTATGATTTGTTACTGTTAATTTACCGGGTTAGTCACATGCATTTATTGTTCGTTCGCCAAGGGCCACAAATTTATAAGAATCAGACAATTTAAAATTGGGGAATCTGAGACCCTTTCAGTATTGATTGTTACAAAATCAGAGGTGCAGAGCGATCATTGGTCTTCGTCTTTTTTAATTTCACCGCTGCAAATGCGTTTGCCCTGAAAAATGATGATTGTTAGGTGTAATGAGTTTTAAATGAGATTGGATAGATTTCTATTACAAATGCAAGAAATGTTGGACAGTCATTTTAAACCTTTATTTACGTGCTTCAGTCCATATTTTTTATTAATGCAGAAATAATAATTGATGTAATTAATATTCAACTCTTAACGACTAGTGGCTGGAAGCACCTACTTTGGTGTTTTTGCAGTTTCTGATTTTAACCATAAACCCATGCTCACTCACTTATTGTTTTCCTGTTCATTCCAGGAGTTTTCAATATTCTTCCATCGCTATATACAAAAACTGTAAAACTAGCCAAAATAAGGATCAATGAGGTACTCGGTATTCCACCATCGGTGAAACGGGCTAATGCCTTGTTAAGTATGGTTCAAATACAACAGGGCACTCGAATAGAGAAATATGTCATTAATTTAATAGTTAGTCCTCCACCAGATTATTATTTTTTACCATTTCTTATCCTTTGATTTCATCCCAGGAGTTGTACCATTGAGGTTGAGCATGTGACAACCTTGAACCGGGCATATCCATTGTTGAATGTGCTGCTTTTTTCAAGAGGCGTGTTCTTGGTAAAAGTGTCGCTTCTCTCGAGACTCTGTGGTCCGCTACTACAATGCAAGATTCTGTCTCAATACCGGCATCGTCTTCCCTACGTTTTTTGTCTGATAGCGGGCTGTTTCCACCACTTCTGTTGAGGTCGATAAGAGATCTGTGCCGCCACATGGCCATCCCTTCAATGACATCATCGCCTCTCCTCAACTTCCACAAAGATTTTGTGCGCTTGACTTTCTTTTCGTAAGGGAGTTCAAGGGCCTTGAGCTGTTTCTGAACTCGCTCAATTCTCGATTCTTCCCGGTTGGTAGAGTGTTGTCGGACCATTGTTGATTTGTTGTCATTCCAGTCATCATCCACCCAGCTCCTCAACGTATCTGCATCCCTAGGTCGTCTCTTGTTCCTCACCAACGTTTCTCTGAATAATATTACTTTTTCAGTAAGATAGTGAGATTAAATCTCCACCACCTTTCCAATAAATTTTTGAATTGTGTGCAACCGTTATTTATACCATTGTGTGTTGTTAAAAGTTTGGAGGGAAATATTAGAAGGTAGTCCTGCACCTTTTCATTTAGGAGGATTTTTTCATAAATGTTAGAGGATTTCATGTTAGTCAAGACATCATGAGTGGATTTATTTTGGAGCAGGTTATAAATCTACATATTTGAACTCATTAGTACTTAAAAACTTCTGATTGTTAGAGCATGCATCTTTTTAAAACCTGTGGATCACAACGAAAAGTGGTGAGTTACCAGCAAGAACAAAACCTGTATCACAAATTTTACTAGGCTATACATTAAAATTACAACGAATTCAATAAAAAAACTATTGAATATTTCGAATATCCCAAAGAACCTGAAGCTTCATTAATCATTCCTTGATGTACGTATTACTTAGGTCCCTTCACCACTCTCATCAGCATTGAACATTTGTTGAAGATTTAGTAGTTGTTCAGTCTGAATGAAAAGAATTTATTAATGTAGAATTACCTATTGTGTTCATCATCAGAGTAGTCGACTTCAGGTGCTGGGGGAGGATCGTTGCTAAAACCGGAGTCGTTGCTTGAATGGAGTGATGCATTTGGAGGACCTGGAGGATTTCTCTGAACAACACCTTTAACTCCACCTCCATTTTTAGATGGGATCGTCGGAGCAGGCCCAGTCGGAGGTCCTGTTCTAATACCAACCATCCCACCAGCACTTCCTTCCTGTAACTTTAACGATAAACAAATTGTAACAACAAAATTGCGATTGATATAATGCCAGGGGAGGTGCAATGTCCCCGATGAGTGCCAGGAAAATGGAAGGTGAACTATTGCTACCTGGGATGCATGATTTCTGAGGGCGAGAGTATCTCCGAAGCGCATTGTGGGTGGAGCTCTGGGGCAAGGGGTGTCAAACCCACCTCCGCTGCCTCCCGGTCCACCACCACTCGGGGTAGTCGCATCATCCACTGCTGTTCCGCGCCTGTGTGTGGGTGATGATGCACTCCTGGAGAAGACATCGGTCAATTAAAACTTTGCAACATGAAATTTGTAAAATCTATATGTTATACTTACGTAGCTGTATCATCGATGAAGGGTTCTGTGTATGCTAGTGGAAACCAGCCACTACTCTGTGTTCTGAGATTTTCGCCAAATTGCCAACCCTTGTTTCTTTCACCTGTTACAAATTTACTATTTTAGATACGATCTTCTACTTTGGTTCAAAATAAATTTACCCATTAAGGCAATAACATCTCCTTCTAAGAAACTAAGCTGGTTTTCTCCTGATGATAAGTAAGCATATAAAGCTCTGGCCAGAGGAGTGTCCCATGTACTTGTATCAGGAACAGCCATTGATTTTGGACGTCTATCCGGGCTTGATATTTCTAAAGAAGCACATTTAAAAAACAATAGAAAAGAGTTTACAAGTGCTACATAATATAACTTGTATAAGAAAGAAAAATCTTCTCAGTAAACAAAGTACTACATAAAAAAAGAAAGAAAAAAGAAATTGTCTTCAAAATATACAATTATAAATACCATGTGTTAAAGAGTTTGTACTGGCTGTCAAATTGAAGTCCGACTTTGCCCTAGCTAGAGGCCTGTGCTGCCCAGGGCTAGCCAAGTCACCCATAGCTCTTACATCTAAGCAAGAGACGTCAACAGATTTGGTCTTCCTGAGCTGTGAAGCCAATGAGACCCTATCATCTTCCAACTTCCCATCCATGTCAAGTCCATTACCTGAGTTCTCTGCCCAGAAACTTATTTGCTGTTTTTCAAATAAAAAGAAACAAGGTACAGATATAATTGAATTGATAAGCAAAACGGAAATGCGCCTTTACTCACGCTAAGTTTGTTTGCAAACATTCCTTCGACCGAATTTGGGAGATACTCCCTTGACTTGGCAACCTCTTGCCAGTTGTCCAGGTGGGTCTGAAACAGGCTGTTTCCTGCTGAATGGTAGGCCAGATAGTGCTTGGCGAGTGAACAATGTCTTTCAAGGACAAAGCCATACCTTCGCCTTTCTTGAGTCATCGCCTTTAAAGCGAAAAAGCAACAAACAGTGGTAATTTCTTGTACTGGGGGCGGGAACTTTTAGTACTCACATTTTTCAAACTTTGCTCACAGAATGCATCCAACTTCGATCGTTCCTCTTCCAAAATTTGCATACTCTGAAAGAAAATTAAAATATGTATGCTTGTTATGTGAATTGTGACCTAGTAATTTCTTTGGCATGGTAATGTAAATTAAACAATGTGTATTATTGAACAACTTTTACCTATTGTAAATATAGAAATAGAGAGACTTCGTTGAGTCTCCTTGTTTTAGAAAGCTAACCGACAACATTTCAAATAATTAATCCATATTTGCTTAGTGGTCATAATTGTCCATATTAATTATTCCAATTAATTATCTTTTTATCTAAGGTTTTTCATCTCAACCTAAAACATTAGATAAAAAGAATAATTAATTGGAATTTTTAAATAATGCCAACTGTATTTATTTGCATGATCATTCTCAATTATTTACATCATTATTAATATATTTATTATATTTTTTTATAGAATCAGTCAAATAAGAAAACTCAAGAAGTGGTAGTAATTTTTTTTGTCTAGTATGAGTGTACATCTAGGCAGATATTTGAAGTTGAATATTTGTTTTATTTTATTTAAAATTCGGCTGTTTTAAATATTTTTTCTTATTAATGAAATTACCTACTATGCAAATTCAATACCTACTATGATTACATTTACGTATTAACAATCTAAGATCAATCTGTGGTCATTTTGCAAGTATATAATATACACGTACATGATGTAATATTTTTTAAAGTATATAATTAAATTGTTTTTAATTTTTCAATTTAAAAATAGCGTATTATTTTAATTCCTGTGATTTCCCTACTTTTTTCTTAACTCATAAGCACAATAATTCAATCTTTAACTATCTTAATGTACACACTAAGGCAACAAAAATTCGGACACTTGTATTTATTTGGTTATTTTCCACAATAGTATAAAAGTTAACAGTTGACTTAAAATGTAACGACAACTTTAATAAATTGTTGTATAACTTTATAGTGCTCCTAATCATTTTACACTCATTATATTAAAAATAACGAAAATCAGTTAAATTTCGTCCTTTCTAGAGCTGGTCGAATGATTTTTTTAAAACTTTTTTTAAAATGAAATATGAATTTGATAATTTTTTTACTGCTCTTGTTGAAGTCTAGTATTATATTTGACAATACGGAATCCGATTGCTTATTTACTCGATGTCTAGGAGTCATAAGGCCCTCCAAGAGGAGAGAAAAGGTAATACGTGTTAATTAAGAGCAAAACTAGCAAAATCGTTCAATAGTAATCTATCACTAAATGGTTTTAGAGTGTTTTGTTGATTTTCTTTCAAACCATCACAGTTAAGTAATTAACTTTAAAACTCATGAATTGCTGATTTCGTGTAATTTAATTTACATTAAAATAAGTATGTTTAATTAATGTGACGATAAAAATATATATACTTTGAAATAAACAACAAAAATACGAGCGACCGTTTTTTTATATTTGAGTGTGTATTAAAAAAAAAGAAAAACCAAATTCAATGGCTGTCGACCTATTTTAAGGTCATTACCAGTGCAAAACAATCTTAAATATGCCTACAGATGGACATATTTAACTTTTCTACTTGAAATTTTTTTTTGTAAAAAACTTGGTCAATACTTCTACCAAAGATACCAAACCTTTAAACCTTGTGAGGGTCCGAGACTTATCAACATTTTCAACAAATAAGTTAAATATATACGAAACCAAAGATATACGATATATATATATATATATATATATATATATANGTTGAGAATCGGACCATGGACAATATGAACTTTTTTGTTCATTTTAGGGTGAAGAATCTACTGGAGAAGTTTGTAGCACGAGTAGCAATTCACCCTGTATATATATTATATATATAAAGATATGTTTGCAGACAATTGTGTCGCAAGGACTTTCTCCTTTCAACAAATTTTTCTCCAATACTTCTATCATTGAAAAACTGGTGAGACTAGGCTTTGAGAAAAGTGGCAGTAAGGAAAAGATTTTCTTTCAAATGCCAGTCAACCTTGTGCAACACGGGTACGATGTGCACAATATAAGTATTGCTGATAAAACAAATGTTCACACAAAAAAAATGTATAATAATTATTATTTCGTTTTAAAAAATATTGAAAATATTTTTTAAACATTCTATACAAAGTAGACACACAATAGTACCTTGAGTTCCTTATCCATGGCAATCCCTGTCTTCGAGCTGTTTTTCTGCTTCTTCCTCTGCTTTTTCATGGTCGCGGCCGCTTTGGAGTAGGTCTCAGATCGCTGCTTGTGTTGTTGGAGGAACCTTTTCTGTTCCGACTGAAAAATGGGGGGAAAAGGTATAATTTTCGTGTAAGTGTCGATTTCCCGTTTGATGAAAAAGGGGTGCCGGTGGCGAGGGTCGGGACAAACGTTCTGGAGTCGCTATGGTGATACATGTAATGGAATAAAGCAGTTATCGAATGTCGTTGCCGATAAGAAGCCTCTTAGGGGCAGGGGTTGGCTAGTGGAAAACGGCTGCAACAATTTTCAAAGGCACCGAATCCTTTCCGGGTCAGGAAACGATACACTCGTATCTCTGTACGTACAGAATATCTTTTAGTTTCAAAACGGTATAGTTTTACGGTAAGCGGCAGAACAGCCCATAGAGATAATTTTCATTTAGGCTAAATGTTGTAACTCGATAATCGGTCAGCAGGCGATGAATTCTCCAAGATGCGTGCTATTTGACCAGGTCGACCCTCTTAGTCTCTATCTGTCGGTGGTAGTCACGTCTCGGTTTCACGCTCATAAAAAAACCCATTATTCATGCTGATAGTCTGAAATCTAAACTGTCTATCCATCAACACAAAGCGATCCTTACGAAGGGCACATTAAGAACAAAAATCAAATCGATATTCATTATTGCCTTACGTTTCTTCACTCTGGCTTTGTTTACAATTCAAGAAAAACAAGGCGAGGAGTGGTAAACAGCCAAATTAATAAGTAAAAATTACACTTATATTATACACAATTTTTCTTAAACCGAGTATGAGTTCATAATACCGCATGTGTGCCGATGATAACAACAGTTATCTTTTCCCGAGAAAAGAACAAAAAATCGACCAGAGGTCTATGGGGTGATGGTTTTGCCTGGCGCGTTTAGCGATTTTGCCAACTTCGATGTGGTTCTGTGTGTGGAACTGTAGGTTCATCATCAGTCATCACGATCTCGCAAGAAAGCTGAGAACTCAGATCGAAGACAGAAATTACTTCTCAAAAACAAAAAAAGGTGTACAGTAAATGCACATTGGACACAAAGCAATGATAACAACATTGCTGGGGGGCGTCCGCCGAAACGTTTAGGCGTTCATCAGTTTAAGGTAAAGGTCCAGGGTTCGAATCCAGCGGCCCTGCATTTTAACCAGACATACTTACAAATGGGAATTATTTTTCACCTGCACCCCGAGGGTTGATATTACTGTTGCGAATCTTCGTAAAAAATAAAAAATAAAAAAATAAAAAGAACATTGCAGTCATTCAAATGGAGGAAGTTCAAAAACTGATTTTTCAAATACTAGTGAGGTTTAATTTTAAAATGACCATCCACCATTGGAGAAAACAAGGCGACACACGAAACCCTTATTAAATTCGATGACTTTTACGGGAGATTTACAGAATGATTTTTTAATCGTTTTGGAAGGAAATGTGATATTGCTCTTAAGAAACTAGATTTCCAAAACTATCTCCTAATTATCAAAATTCAGTGCAAATAGCCGAAAAATTCTAATTGAGGACGAATCGACCAAGGAAGATGGTGAAATGCCACGATGATCGGAATCGACCAAACTTAATAAAACCAAAAATGTCGGTTGATCAATTATTTTATGGTGTGTTATTGTCAGAAAGATAGTAGTACTCAATAAATTATTGAAGGAATGCTGAAAGGCAAAAAACCCGTCGCAATCCCATCGTTTATTGATTTCCCCGTCAAGTCAATGAGTGGCAACGAAGTTTAAACAAGTAAGCATTTCGATCTCGGATGAGTCGAGGAAAGGGCGTTAAGCCGACTTATGCAAAGGGAACTCTTTTCCAGCCATTTCCTCCACCGACGAGCCCTAATTTTCAATTTCCCAAGGCGCCCGCCTAATGAGGAAATCCGTTTTCCGGAGAAATCATTCGTCTGGAAAGGTGGCGTTTATACTTTTTCCGGTGTTTCCGTGCCGCGGGATGAGATTCAAGGAGATTCGACGTCCTCGACCTCCTCAGACTTTTTATTTTAAGAGAGCACCTCTAATTAGGTCCCATCAAAATGTTTGACAAGCCCCAATGTTGTCTTAGCCGACATCCTTCTACCCTAAGCCTTCCTATAATTTCAACTTTATAACGGAGTCGTTATATTACATTTTTTGGTGGAAACTCGACAAATTTACAAGAAGAATACCAACGAATATTTTTCCCTCTGCTCATTGATTTGCAACTGATTTTCTCTCAAACGTTAATTCCGTTTCGACTAAAGGCAAATTTCCCATAGCTGTGCTGCGAAATAAATATTTCGTTTTTATTGCAAGTACAACGTAAACAGTTTTTCGTAATTTAATTGCCGATCGGCCGTAATTCTCACCCCGAATCGATGTCGATAAACACCCTCACCAGGCCATTTCAAAATGCAATTCATTAAGAGGGAAAAAAAGGGGGATGGATTTCAGAGAATTAGAAGTACGTCTCCGATCTCCGTAAATTGCCATTTTGTCAACCTCTGAGAGGGGAGAGACTTTTAAATTATGTCTCCAGAAAGATGTTCGAAGTTTGACGAATGGCCGGACTTAATTTTTGTCGGGGGCGTTGGTGGCCCGGGTAACTTTGAAAACGGCGATAACCACTTTTTGATTTATATACGTCTCTCTTCGCGTTTATATGCACCCGGATATATTTTTATTCACGCCATCGTCGACGAAGTACGGCTTGGTCATGGATCGTCGGTGATATTTGAAATTGGAAATAATGATTTCGGACATAATCTGGCGTTTACTTAATTTAAATATGTATGTACAATTGGCACATTTAAAGGAATTTATAAATTTAATAAATATAGGCAATTGAAAACTGAAAACAGGTACCTATACACAAAGGAGGTTGACCAATACAAACTGATTTTGTTCGATAACTTTAACTAATGTTAAGAATAACACCTTTCTGTTTAATTCAAATTAATGTAATAATTAAACATGGTACTGATTTTCGTGAAGATTAAGATTTCTGATTTTATATTATACGTATGTTGTACTTTTTTTTAAAAGGAGGGTTCGCAAAAGCATTGGTCAAATCAACCCTCGGGGTGTCGGGGTTTTTGAAAAAAGCCCATTTGTAAGTATGTCGGGTTCGAATGCGGGACCTTTACCTTTTTGGGAACAATTTTTGTAGGAACCCGGGACCTTTACCTTACCTCAGGCCGGTGGGTCCATTGTCCCGCTGGTCGATTTCAGCCGGCAGCTTCTGAACAATGATCGAAAACCGAAATTGGCGGACTCGGATACATCTGCATAAACTAGCAGAGCATTGAACCAACCTTGTCCTCAGACGGGAAACGCTACCCGGCGATATAGTACCGCAAAAGCATAACACATACCGACAAACCAAATTCATAAATTTCGATCTTGAGGAATGAGTTGAGTACTTGACGACTTAAATAGTCTAAACAAATTTTAAACTTTTTTTACTATTTACTTCTACTCATAGCCCAATCTTTAGAGAAATTTAAGTATTCTATCAATAAAAAGAAAAACTCACTTATATATTTTATAATGTAATAACTTTTCCAGCCGTTTCAGATCTTTTAGGCGTGTCCCCACGGCAAATCGAAACGAGTTGCAAAAAGGAAAAGTTTAAAAGGAGTATTTTTCATAATTGAAGTTCGTTAATGAGATCTTTCATGCATTAAATGAAACTTATAAAATACCTGGACGACTTTTGTGTCTTTCTCCAAATTCGTCTCGAGAGGTACAAGAAGATCCACATAGAACGCTTTGAGCTTAAAGAGTAAAAATAAAATTAGACAACTGCTTACACCGGTACGTGGTACATAAAGAAATGTATATGACAAAAAAAAAACTTACGATATTCATCTGCTGGGCTTGTATCTCCTTGTACACCTCGACTATTTGCATCAGAGCAGAACCTGGAACAGACAGGAAAACTCCCTTTAAACTTTCTTAAAGAGCCCTGTTAAAAGTTGCCTCGTTGCAACCCATATTTTTTACTTAGGCGTGCAATTACGGTGAGTTTCGAGAAATTATTACCTCGGGGAGAAGGAAGACAAATGGGCGGCTGGGAGGGCAGTGAAGACGGACTTTAAAAGAATAATTGCGGCGACTTAATCGTTCTACTTTAACTCTGGTATAAATCAATAAAAATATTTTAAAAGTTTAAACAGTACGATTCCTTATCTTGAATTTTGGATTATAATTGAATTGGAATCGATCGACGTATGGAAGTTTAGGCTTTTAACCACAATCGGGACCTGTTACGCTGTGCATTTTACACGTTTTTTAAGGACTTCCTGCGTATCTTTGTAGGTTTGTTATTCTTTCTTGTTATTCTTCATAAGAACTTCAAAATAATGACTTCATTTCGCACTCTATTACTTCACTTGCTTGCTGAAACTTCAAGCGGCAGATTGGATTGACTGTAGTTAAAGCGAAAGTTTGAACATTACGAAGGGTAAAGAGATTTAATGTGTAGATAATCCTAGAAACTAGTTTCACGTCCGTGGCTTTGACGAATAAGCCCGAAACTTGCGGTAGTACGCCGCAATCTAAACCTGCCTCTAGGTGCAAAGTTAGTAAAGATGTAATATGATTTTAAAAAAAATTCTATAGATACATGAGTGGACACGATAATAATGAAAGCGGGCAAAACGAAGCAATTTACTAAATGAGATGGAAGAAGAGGATGAAGGGCAGAGTCGAGAGAGTTAACGACGAATCAATTAAAAATCAATTACATTTTTAATATACATATGAAAACTAATGTCGTATCTTCATTAAAAGACATATATATATCCCACACATTCACAAAATTCTGTCAGGTTTCCTTTTTTTTGGAGGGGGGGAAGATGCAAAAGGCAGTTCTTTCCTCCACAGGCCTATTTGGAACCCCTATAGTTTACAGCCATACGTTAGAAAGTGTGCATCCTTATAATTATTTTGTGGGGTGTTTAGTGACCAGTTAGTTAATGATTATTCCTTACAAAAGCTTAGCACTTTCCTTAGTGCCTCTTTGTGGATCTCCTTTGGTGACACTGAGGAATGTCTTACTTAAGTGGCTGTACTGTAAACAAGCTGACGCTTTACATTCACAAAGGATATGTGCGATGTCTCTGGTTCCTCCTGATACAGCCTGCCCGATTAGCCATCTGAGCATTACCCATATTTTTAAGATGATGATTAAGAGGGCAGTGGTCGGTATAGAGGCCTACACGACCGGATTTTTATGTAGTTGCATATTTTGTTTGCCACCACATACGACCGAGGAAATAAATTATATATCCGAATCATGTATCTAGGAAGTTGAAGATTAAATTTTATAGAGCATATTTTTACATATTTGATGAATATCGCATAAAATTGCATATATGAGCGATTTTTTTCGTAAAATAACATTTAAATATTTAAATATATTGGTTTTAGGGGGAAACATAAAAAAAAATCTGTGAAAAAATAACAAGTTGACGAAAAGTCAGTTTAATTTAAAGAAAACTGAAACCGGCCGGAATGACGGGAAGAGCCTAGAAATACTGACAAAAGAATAACCCCCTTCTTAGGTCTTATTTCATTTATACAATACAAATTTTAAGCGACCATAGGCACAATTTCACGGAAAACAATTTAGAGAAGTACTTGTTTATCAACATTAATTATACTCATATACTCATATGTACTCAAAATATGTAATTTAATAATGTAAGTGAGAAAATATTTTTGTTAAATGTAAGTAAATTCTATGAGGCATCGGTGGCCGCAACCGTTTAAGGGTTGACACAGCGCTCATCACTTAAGGTCCCGGGTTCGAATCCAGCGGCCCTGCATTCGACACGGCATACTTACAATTTTTTTTTTTTAAACACACCTCGAAATGCTTGTGAATTTAAATTATTTTTAGTTTTAAAGAGCTTTAATATCTATTTCGTTATTATATCTCTATTTCTGTTTAAAGTTACTATGATAGTTTAAAAAAAACTGGTTTATTGCATATCATTGCATTTTTAAACGTTTTAATACCGCATATTATTGCATATTTCAGGGCTTTCAACTGCATATTTTATGGCACATTTTGGCAATTTTTACTGCATAAAAATTCGGGCTCTGAGAAAGGGGCGTTTCTTCGTCTTCCGTTTTGAGATATTTATAAATCTCCCAGCTTGCCTCCCACCTGTAGTTTTTGAGAAGGGGCTTCGCTAGGGTGAAGTTTGTCCCATTTATCCCTACGACTACTCCATGTTCCATCTTTGATCTGTGTACCACATCAGGGCACCTTCTTGAAACTTGGGGCCACCTTTTTTCTAGTGTCTATGTACGCTCTTACGATACATATCACCAAAATAACGAGTGTGTTAACCATTACAATCCCGGAAGCGAAACATTTTCTCTTTAAATTAGAAGCATTTTATCCGCCTTTTTACTCACCGGGAATCTCGTAGATGTTTCCCTTTTCTTTGACGTGCCGCGATTGGCAAGGCTAATTTCTCTTTTTCGCTCCGGCCTATTGGGATTTAATCAAATCCGAGGAGAAAGGAAACTTTCAAGCTTTGTATGCCTGCGTGCTTGGAGAGTCCGTCTCAAACTATAAAGAAACGAAATAGCGCCTAAATTAAACAAGCCTCAAAGCCATTATTTTAAGCACAATCTCCAATGAAATTTTAATTATCAAAGTTCAAAGTGAGTGAGAAAAAAAAGTTAATTTCTTAATAAAAAATTATCACAACTTAACAGGTATTTGAAGCATGTAAAGATAACATTTCGTAAACAGAGAAAAAGGACTTTTATTTTTATAACTGGTAGATTGACTGATAGGAACTTTTTTTGTAAAGCTTTTATATTCCTCCTTGAATGCCATTGTGTTGTAAATTGTGAAACCCAATTCCCTGCCTCTTTGGCAATTCTTCTTTTCAAGGCACGTACAACTCTGAGCTTGGTCAGGGGCACTTATCCGTCCTAAGAGGTTCACTGAGAGCCAGAACACGCGGACACGACACATCAAAGGAACGTTGAACACGGAGGACAAGAAAAAACAGCTCTCGAAAGCGATAATAATTAAATTTAATCGAAATAAAATTCGAGCCTAAATTATTTAAGAAACCCCCGGATCGAACAATACTTATCAACAAATAAAATATTATTAACATTATTCGGAAATCGTGACGTAGGTTTCAGAAAAACATTTTTTTTATCGTGCCAACGTTTCGATCTTTATTGAGATCACCTTCAGGGCCTGGGATTTACAAACTTTGTTTACATTTAACAAATACATGTAGCATGTGGAAAAAAGTGAATTTATACACTACAAAAAAACATTTTTTATATTCACGCAGAAAACAAACACTTTGAGTGAGTAGAAATATAGATTGGATATATAAAAAATATTTTTTTGTAGTGTATAAATTCACTTTTTTCCACATGCTACATGTATTTGTTAAATGTAAACAAAGTTTGTAAATCCCAGGCCCTGAAGATGATCTCAATAAAGATCGAAACGTTGGCACGACAAAGAAAATATTTTTCTGAAACCTACGTCTTACCTGACCGCATCTCACGATTTCCGAATAATCATCGACTAACTAATCACCACACATTAATGACATTCAATAGAGTTGGTGGTCCGATTGACCGAATAATGTTTTTCAATTAATTAATCTTTATATAATGCATTGGTTGAGATAAAAAAGTCAGTGAGACGAGCGGTATTCGAACCCACGACCCTCGGCTAAATACGCCGCTGCCCTACCACTTGAACTATCGTGGCTTGAAAGTTCGATCCACTCCGGACACTAACTTTCCATCTCAACCCCACCTTTCGAATTTTCCCTCCTTGAAAAATGGAAAAAGGAGGGGCAATTCGAAAGGTGGGGTTGAGATGGAAAGTTAGTGTCCGGAGTGGATCGAACTTTCAAGCCACGATAGTTCAAGTGGTAGGGCAGCGGCGTATTTAGCCGAGGGTCGTGGGTTCGAATACCACTCGTCTCACTGACTTTTTTATCTCAACCAATGCCTTATATAAAGATTAATTAATTGATTAATGACATTGTTGATATTTTAAAAGATACATACCATTTTAAATAAAAGAACATTAAAACTGAGTATTGAAAGGTTAGGTCCGAATAATATTGAATATGGTGATTTATCACCTTAAAGTGGACAAAACGATAAAATGTATTTTAAAAGTTGTTTTTTTTTTATAAAAATTATTTTCTAAATATTTTAGGAGATATAAAATAATCATTCCAAGACAAACTTCATCGAAATATTTAACTTTTCATTATCAGATTTATAAGACAAAAACGTTAACGGTGAATTAATTATGACCAGTTTGAACAATATGATTAGCGGTTGAAATATTAGCGACTGACTAATTTTTTATTGTCAAAAGGCGGTTGTTTGTCATTTCAATAATAAAGCCCAACATGAAATATAATCGTGTTGTTTATTCGTTATACTTTTTCAGCACAAAATAATTAAAACCGGCCTTTAGAGACAAGAGTCTAATTACAGGACATACATCTTCAAGTTTGAATGTCGAGGCGGCAAGGGGCATCGTCAAACTACTAAATCATTAAGAGACTAATGGCAAAAAAGAAAAAACCCAGAGGGGGGAAAATGTACAAAAATCTCGTTTGCTTTGCCAAAAAAAGTATTTATAAACTCTTCGACAAAAGCCGGTAAAAATAAGCTTTGAACATCACCTCTCATTAAATTTGTATAATGAAGAAAGCATTTTTTGCTCAATATTTTTTCCGTTGTATCCATGTTTTTTTTCTAAGGAAATGACAATGAAAAGAGTAATTATTGAGATTAAAGTAAAATGTAAGGAAAGTACTTTAATTTTAAAGGTGCTTACTATATAATAAAAAATAAGTGTATTTCGTGTTAGGACAGTGTAATGCACGCTATTTTACACAATTAT